TTTTTTTTTTTTTTTTTTTTTTTTTTTTGGTTTCTAAAAAATTAATTTTTTTTTTTTTTTTTTTACAACTATAGTCAAGAGTAAATGGTTCTACTTTTATATATAAGTATAAGAAAACTGAATTGATTACCAATATAATATACTGACATTTACATCGTGTTTGTGTTGCTGTAACAGAACTAGTACTAGCCCAACAATTTTGTGTGTGTCAATAATAATCATTAATTATTTGTTATCAGTCAGTATGGTTTAAATTAATAATTAATATAATTAAGAATGATTAATGTTTATTAATGTTAGGGGCTATCCATGTTTTATTTAGGCCTACCCACGGGAAGAAAAAGTGTGAGTGCGGGGAAGGGAAGGTGATGTTAAAAGTTGGAGATTTTGAGTACGGGTCAAACTTTATTGTGTACTGAAATTATGGGGAGGGATGCGTTCAGGTTGAAGCCATAAGAAATATAGCACACGGGGTATGGGTGACCTGAAGTCAGACGAAACTAAAGTAACTTAGTAAGACAAAGGATTAAATATAAAGTTTTGACTATAAGTATAAGCACTCTTAAGTTATCATCATTATCCAGAGTATCTTAATTTAATTATTTTATTATACTCCTATAGTATAAGTAAGTAGAGCCTAAAATGTTATTCTGTGCACGAGACTATTTCAAATTATAATGCACTTCTATTGGGAAAAAATTGCTAACGGAAGAAGTTCTTGAGTAGACAACACGTTACATTGTGACTTGTCATTTGCATTATAGTATAATTTATTATAAAGCTTCATTTTCATCAACTTACACCGAATGCGCCCAGTATACAGTTATACAGTTACAGCGGTTGGTTTGTGACTTTTAATTTTTTTTTAATATTTAATTATCCCTATATTTGTATTGTTAAATGAAATTAATGTTAGTAGAGTCGAAAGGAAAGTGTATTAGAAGAAACAAATACAAATTAACAAAAAATTAAGGTAATTACAAGTCGTGTTTAATATAAAATGTACACGGCCAAAGATTATTTGAAAGTTAGCACACCCTTTATAATAGTCAAAGTGTCAAATCGAAGGGATATTTCAAACAACCGTTTTAATTGTTTAAAAATCATCGTTCCTAATATAAATATAAATGCATCATAATTGCATAAATTATTTTGTACTATTATTGACAAAATAAATAATTTAGTCAACATTATTTCATGACATTTAAAAGAAAGGACCCTTCACGCGAACATATCTGTCGTTTGTTATTTACCCCCTTCGAGCCTAAATTGCAACGTCATGACCTTGGCCTCCGTGTTGGTACACGCAAGGCTCAATCAGCCCCGTCCGTGGTGACTGAACTAGGGTTTGGTGGAAGCATAGAAATATTTTCTAACAGAATAGGATTAGTTCGAACGTAATAGATTTTGACAGGGGAAAATATTGAACTATTGATAATCAGAAATTAAAATCATTTAAGGTATTCTATATTTAATAAGAGAATGGGGTTATATATGGGAAATAAATTTACAGTGAACAGTAGTGGGTTAACTCAGAACAGAACAGGTCGTTCAAAATAAAAATAAGTAGTTACTTCTAGAATTACCTCTGTTTAACCGTCAATTATCTAATAGAATAGTTACTAAACTAATTGGGTTGCATTATTGCGTAAAACATGTTAAAGCCATAACATGGATTGATAGGTAAACTTGATTTAGCATGATAGTCATAGAAATGGAACATGCTACTAGTTGGAGTTGGAATGAACAGACAAGATGGACGACGGATGGAAAACCGGGGTTGAAATGCAATGTGACTGATCCCCTCGAGATTGCAGTCCTCAACTGGGCACCAGCCCGTGTTTCTATATGTATATATATAAATGTATGCAATGATGCTCTAAAAATCGTTTGTTGTCCACAGGTTGGTGATTTTTAGTAGCCATTTCAGAAAAGCATTTAACATCTACGAAGAAGAAACATCGTGTCGTGACCTATTTTTATCATTGGCATTGGCCTTTCTTCCTTTACAGTTCATTTTAACAGTACCATTGCAGGTAGGCGGATAAGACCGCTTTTAGTGTATTTTATCTTCACATTTTATTATTAACACTTTTTCTCCCTTAGGAGAAAAAGTAAATGTTTTGAAAATATGCTGTTACTGAATTCTGACCACCAATGTCCGAATCCTACGATTCGGATAGCCTTTGACCTCGTAAAGTCATGTGATACATGAGTATTGAAGTCTTAAAAATTTTATTATATTTAGATATGCCCTGCCTCTGTTCATCCCAACCTAAGCCTAAGGAGAGCTATCCCCACTCATAATTATTGAAAACAAATGAGATATTTAAGCTTATTATTAATTTGATATTAGTGAAATACGGCATATAATTATTTTTTTATGGCAAATTACAGTAATTTATATATTATATAGATTATACACCATATTGTCCATATTCATACATTTAGTATTTATTAGATGAATCTTAAATAATAAAATAAGCTTACTCATTTATAGGCTAAAAATAATAATAATACTGTTCTGTGAGTGTTCTTGTTCTTTTAAATATTACAAGTCTCATATTTATAGCCAGAATAACAATAAATTCTATTTAATTAACCCTTGACTTTTTAAAAAAGTTTAAATGGTAAGTCCAACTTATGAAATATCATAATTAATATTGACCTGTAACTTTTCATTTTCATGTTAAAAAAAAGGAAGAAATTTTATGCAATATCTTTTTTTCATCTGCATTTCAATAACACTTACTGTAATGACTTAATGATTATAAATATAGGCCCTAATATTACTAATATGAGCAATTTTTATTGTGATACATTTTTATTGCCAGTGTTGTGAACATAAATCTTGTAATTGGCATTGATTTTATTTAGCTTATGTCTAAAAGAAAAAAAGCATTTAAATAAACCTGTATTTCATATACGGATATCCATTATAGTCATTATCATAAAAATACATACCAGGTATGTATTAATTTTTTTAAAAGCTAATTCAGTAACAGTAGAGTCTGCATATGGACCATCTTCAAACTCTGCAGTTACTGAATGAGTTTTTAGCCTAAAGTAGTTATGTAAAATATTAAATAATATAACATAAAAATCAGCTTTTAAAAATTCAATGGTGTAAAAATAGTTTAAAAGTTAATGAAATTATTATTTTTTATTTGAAGTTATTAAAGATTAAAACTTTAAATTACCTTACTTTAGATATTAACACTTTAAATACGGTACATTTTTAGATTTCAGTAACAAGCGCAATTATTTTTATATTGAGAATCAGAAGTGTATGCCTCTCATTCACAGATAATTTTTTATTCTTAAATAATTTCTCAATGATTCTTCCTCAGTAATTTTTAATGTAAATCTGCAGGGGCTGTAAAATCTATACCATCCATGAATTACCCCCCTTGAATTTTAGTCACAATAATTTTAAAAAATTACACTTATGTCTTTAAAATTTCATTTCTTTTATTCCAAAGGAGCTGGCTATTTGATGTCAAAGTACAACATAATAATAGCAACAATGATTATTTCCTTTTGGAAGTTAACTTTGTCATGTAATTTGCTAAAATGATTAATATTTTTAGATCTCTTACTCTTACAGCTTATTGACAGACAGTGGGAGTGAGCTAAGAACATCAGACATCACAATCAAATGACATCATGGTTGAGAATTAAACATAAACTTTTATGCTATAAAGGTTTTAATGCAAAGGTTCACTGCAACTCTAAAAAAACAGGCGATTCGAGGTAGTTTGTGATATTTTAATTATTTTTGTGAAAGCAATAAAGTATGTGAGCTTTTACAAACTGTGTTGTTTACTTTCTCAAAATAGGTATGTCAAGGTTGAATTTGTCATTGTGATGTGTGCCAGCTGCTAAAAGCAATTTTAGAAACTTATTCACTTTAATTAATGCAGTGTTTCCCAACTTGTGGTGTGCTTCAAAGGGAGGTAATTTGGGGGGGGGGGGGGGGGGGGGGGGGGTTGTCAGTATCTGAGATTTCAATAGGGGTGAGAGTAATTTTTGAAGGGACAATTTCAAAGACAACCACTGTTGTTGGTCATTTATTGCAGTAAAAATATATTTCATTTATTGATTTGAAAATTTAAAACTACCGTATTAACATTGAAACTCTGGGCCACAAATATTTTAAATTCAGTTGTCCAGAAGGCAGCAAGGAGACCCTTTTTCAAACTTTTCGAGTGCTTTGGGGGAGGGGTGCTGGCAATAAAACCTAAGGTAAGGAAACACTGTTTTAATGGGCAAATGATTCTGAAATTTAGTTCTCTGAGATACCGGGTACAGCAAAGGTCGCTTTCAGCATCATCATTTTTTAAATTTAAGTCAAACATGTACATAATTGTATTTCCAATTAAAAAGTGGTGTCTAAACTGGTGGGTGGTGTCTCTTGTGGTGCATAATCAGTTGAAGTGGTGGGGGGGGGGGGCACTAAATTTAATCTTTTTATTTGGGTACCAGTACTTAAACAACTTAGGGCTTATTGTTTTGAATTATAGTCTTCATTTAGTAAATTATTATTGTACTGTTAACAGTAAACAAAAAAAAGCATATATTTTTTTTTAATTTTCTTTAATTGTATTTCCAATTAAAAAGTGGTGTCTAAACTGGTGGGTGGTGTCTCTTGTGGTGCATAATCAGTTGAAGTGGTGGGGGGGGGGGCACTAAATTTAATCTTTTTATTTGGGTACCAGTACTTAAACAACTTAGGGCTTAATGTTTTGAATTATAGTCTTCATTTAGTAAATTATTAATGTACTGGTAACAGTAAACAAAAAAAAGCATATATTTTTTTTTAAATTTCTGATAAAATGGGAGATATTTGTTAAAAAGGTTGGCTATCAAGGAGCAAGTAAGCCTATAATGTTTATACAAAAAATCTTTCTATTGAATATTTTAAATTAAATGAAATCAACATCTTAGTCATGTAACAGGAAGTAATTTGGTTGTTAGAATCAATGTGACATCCTATTGTTTTTTAAAATTCCGGTACCCAGTATTATTTTAGACAGACTGTGCAGCCAAAGATTTTAAAAGTTGTTCATGTCAAATTTCTGTATGGTGAAATTGATAATCCTGTCTACAGCACATTTTTCAATAGATTGCATTCTTTCTTTCAATTTTGACTTAACTTTATGATTATGAGAAAGCTTTGATATATTTTAAATATTTCTAATAATAATAAAGAATTAATTCAGCCATTTAAAAGATAAAGCATAGGATTGAACTTTTCCTGACTTTGTCAGGTCTTTTATTAAAGAACTATCTGGAATAATTTTTGCTGTAACCAATGTTATTTTATTTATTTCATATTTTATTGTATGTGGCAATTTTTTAAATGACTTTGTAAATTCTGACATGTATTTCATTTATACATTAAATTACTGAACTATGGTTTGTTAATATTATCATCTACTCCATAACTTTGTTTTCACAAAAGCTTTAGTTGAATATTTTTTATATACTTAAAATATAAATTTAACAAATTATTCCATTTCCGCTCACATTTATAAAAATCAATTTGATTTTTACTAATACTGCGGACTCGTATCAGAACCAATTTTTTTTTTTCAAATGCAATTTGATTAGATAACAAGTAAATATGTAATATTCTTGACATTCCTAACTCTCACAAGCAGTCTGGCGAATGTCTATGTAATTTAATCTACTAATACTTATAACCATTATCACAAAATACTATCAATAGTATAGCTTGTTATGCATCCTTATTACTTTAATTATAGCAAGATACCAGAATTCTGCTGAGCAGTCCTGATACCGGTACACAACTTGAGGAGGGTCTCCTGCTATATGGTTTCTGTAAATATGGTCTTTTTGGCCCAGACAGTTAAGGAAAAATGTCAGCAGCAGAATGTTATCCTCTTCCCCCACCTACTGGTATAAGAAACCTCAATAAGGATTTTGACATTGTTGGTTGAGAAGTTCTTTGAAAGGTCGTGGCCAATAATGGATACCCAGAAATATCATTTCCACAGTGCATAAGTGCTATGATAGTATGGGGGCTAGTTTTTTGAAAAATGAAGAGACATCTAATCCATTGTATCCTGGCACTAATACTTTTCAGCCTTGTGTTCTCCGTCATGTTGAATGATGCTTTCAGAGAGGGAGATATTAGGATTGGCATCAGATACCGAATTGATGGTAAACTATTCAACCTTGAGAAGCTACATGCTGCTAAATCCAATGTCCTAACAGACATCATCTGGGACTTTCTGTATGCCGATGTCTGCCGGAAAGGCTGGATCAGATAATCAGAAGCTGTATGGCAGTTTCTCCGATCACCTCACAAACCAGTCAGCTTCTCAAAAACCTCACGTTGAACCCAGCATTCAAGTCAATGGTGAAAAGCTTAAAGTACCGATAGTAAACAGCTTCTCTTTCCTTGGCAGCACACTTTACCAAAACTTGAGAAGATTAACCTTCAAATTACTAAACCCATGGAAACCTACAGCAAAAGGAGTTTCATCAGTCAGCACCCAAACGAATGCATATGCTATGCAATTAAAATATGGACTGTCTATCAACCATGCAAGAAAGCTGAACCAATTTCACACTGCTAGCCTCTGAAAAAGCCTCAACTTCAAAAGACAAGACCCCAAAAACCAAGGTACTCGCACTGGCACATCCCCCCATTATCTATATCATTTTGATAGGGCATGTGAAAATGTCGGGCAACAATGTAAGCATGGCAGGTATGCTGGTTGATATAAGAGACGTTTCAAAGACACCATGAACACATCGATTAAGTAAGCGCTCTGGATAAACCTGAACACTGGAACAATTAGCAAAGGATCAAGCCTCATGGTGCTCCTCTGTACACACATCTCCATGCAGCACGAAGCCAACAAAACAGATGCTATAGAACACAATCCAGAAAATCATGAATCACTATTTCACCTGAAGATGTCCTGTGTAATCCTTGCTCTTAAAGCATTTCCATGATGGTATGCTGGCTAGGGTCTGGAAAAATGGAGAGATGTCCCAACCTTTCCCTGTGGCTCATGGGGTATGCAAGGTTGCATCCTGGTACCAACATTTTTTAACCTTATCTTCTCCAACATGCTGACTAATTTCAGAGAGGGAGACTTTACGGACAGACAGAACCTGCTCCAGCACCTATCGGATGATTAAAATTGACCCTGGTTGATTCATTTGACATGCTAACAATTATCATTACTTATTCATCCAATCACCAAGGCCAATAACTAAAAATAAAATTTAGATTTCAATAAAATATTAATAGAAATAAAGCTAAATGTGTGGACCTTTGCTTTAAAAAGGACCCAGAACAACTTTGTAAAAACTGAGCTAGTGTTGTGATGAAAGGAACTGACATGCATTTATGTATTCATTCTAATTCTGAAGAATAATCCATTGAAGATGGGACTTGTTTTTTTTATTACGGTTCCGTAACGTAATTATAATTAAATAATATTTACCCTTTGCCTACAAATGAAATAAAATTTCCCAAGTCATGCTACTAAATTGATGGGGACCTTCAATAGTAACAAAATGATTCATGAAACCTGTGGCACAAACGTGATTTTTGTCTCATATGATTTCTTTTGTGGTTTCTTGATGCTAAATAAGACATGCCTGGGTTGTACATGTAATTTGAGATAACTTTGTACATGTCATACCTCCTTTCTGTCGCAGAATTTAGATGCCAGAATCTTTTACAGTAATACCACAAGCTTTAGTTTTTCATTTCTTTTGATTTGTACTTGAAATGGTTATATTAATTTATAGCCATTTGAATATTTACAAAAATATATTTGTCTTAATCCTGAAAATTTCACTTTGAGATTATTTAATGTTATTTTCATCCATGATAGCTGCATTCTCCTCTCTGTGCTATTTGTTCTTGTTGATCTTACTTTTAATTTATGACGTACATAATACTTTTTAATATCGCTTGACAGATTCCCAGAATGTGGTGTAAATTAGAATTATTATATATTTCAGATTGGATTACCTCATCAATGCTCAGTTATACTTATACCCAATTTTTAAATATTTCAGTTTCAGATGTGATGTCCTGGTGACAAATTAATAACAAAAAGTTCTGCCTGGCTCTGTTCTTTAAAAAAATAATTGGTGTGGTAAGAAAGAAGTATTTCACAAAACCCTTTAAAAAAATCCATTTTCATAAAGACAAAAGTAAAGTTAAAGATTATGCATTACATGATGTTTCCTTCAATACTTCAAATGTTATGTTAAATTTATTTATTGATGGGAGTGAAAATTAGAGGCACCTAGCAATTATCAGTGGTTGCTATGCATTCTCTGTCTGTTTTTGAATTGTATATAGAATAAGCAATAATTATAGCATCCTATTCTAATGATAATGGGGAACTCATGCCACTGCAAGCTAGCATGATTTATACTATAGTGTAACAGTTATTGCTAACAGCTAAAATTATTGCCTCCCATGACTTATTTTATTTCACTTTTATGTCAATATGTTATTTCACTTTGAGATCAAATAGTGTAATGACACATCATTTGTCTCCACTGATTTCATTTATGTAAATTTGCAATTTCTATTAATTTGTTTTCTTCTCTGTTACAGATGTCTAGTTCATTCCAACCAACAACTTAAAAACAAAATACTAAGCTCGCATGTTTAAGAACTTGTTATATTATCTGCCGTAGAGCGTAATAAACCTTTTATTCCAAAATGTTATGATTTACGCTAAGAATAGTAAGAAATGGTTAAAAAGGGGACAAAATGTGGGGATGAGTTGGTTTCATATCCTGAGGAGTTGAAGATAGAAATGGTGATGGTATATTTGATGAGAAGTTGGAATGTCACTATCAGGGTTGCTTCTCGCCTACTTAAGTGGCATTTGTAATGTGCGGGTCATGCTTGATTTTTTTTATGGCTCTGCACAATGGAGGACAGTCATTTGTAATATAGATGAACAGTTCATCATCTCTTTTATGCCAATATCAAAAAGATACGCACTCATACCTAAATAAACAATTTAAAATCCAAGACACAAAATAATAGTTGTAGAATGGGAGGATCAACCAAACAAATCTTAAATTACTAATGATAATCACTGATATTATATGGTTTTGAATGACACATTTTGCATTAAAAAATCAACTAAAAGGATAGGTTTAATTACCATATTATTTTTTTAAGCCCATCACTGAATCACTGTTATTCATAAAGCAATATTTTAATGCCTAATTTTACCAATAATTTTATCCCATTGTGTACATACATAAATAAGCATTGAGGAATGTACAGATTTTGTTTTGATGGTTTAAGTTTAAGGAGATAGAGCGTTCATACATATCTGTGGATATAAGATGAATCAATCCAGCATCATTCTATTACAAAACATTAACTTCTTGGTCCCACACCATTAAAATAGTAAGGGGGTGGTGGTTTTATAATTTGACCACATACAGTGGCTAATACACTATTTTATAAATACACGCCATGGTTTTTCAAAGCAAATGTGTACAGTTGGGAATAAAAATACTGTTACTGTCACACATCTAAGTATAAGAGAAAGCAACACAAATCTATTTTGAGATGTTTTCATATCATCTACATTTCTTTTATTTATAGTATTTATCACAAGCCAAGGCATTAAAGCACTGAATGGTGAATAGTTTTTTTCCCAGCAGAGGAACTGCAATGAGTACACATTAGCTATGGTAAGTAACGATAACTAACTACATCAAGTCAAGAAAGCAAATCTGAGGCACAAGTCTTACCGTTACTCACCTTAAGGTGGCATGTATAAAAAGTCTTACACAATGGAGCAAGTTTCCTGAACAATAAATAACCTAAGTCTACCCCACCCTAGTTTGTTGATGATCACCCCCAATAGATTGTTAAAGTTTTATCATTTGTGGGAAGTGGCTGGTCAATATCTTTAACCCTCTGGAGACGTAAGGGCCGATCTATTGGGGGCCCGAGGTACACTAGCGAGAAAGACGTCAAGTCTGAGCCGTCGGCCTGATAGATCGAGCCTCACGATTGGCTGGCTTGGCGTTGTACCAGCGAATCAAAATTATTCATACGTATTCCTGCACATCCCGGCATTGTAATGGCGGCGTTGGTTGAAGGTGAACTTAATTTATTTGTGTGCAGAATTTTTTTTTTTGTGTGTGTGTAGTTACATCGTGAAATTCGAACATGTCTGACAGTGACTCTGATTAAACTGTGCTTAGTGATTTTGATATTCTAGGTATCTAGGCATAAGCACCACATTTTAGTAGTTTATGCTATTTTTTACACTAAATATCACTCAAATGTTTATGAGAGAGACCAATAGATATGCAAACAACTTTCTCAGTAACATCCAGCTTAAGAGAAGGTCCCTAGGTCATAAATAGGGGCCTGTTACAGTGTGTCTGTAACAACTGAAAAATTGGGTGGAAAGGGGGGGGGGTGGAAAAAGGAGTAGAACCCTGTGCCAGATGTATCTGAAGGGCCTCCATGGGCCTTTTCTCCCAAAAACATAAGTGTTAGTACTTATTCAGGCTTCATCCATCAAAAAATTCACACAATTGATACAAGTAAGTCATGTTTAGTCTAGGTGTAACAAAAAAATTACATGCATAAATTATGGTAGCTCATTTGCATAAATTTTGATATTTCAGTTTGATTCATAAATATTTTATTAGTTCATTCAATTTCCTACAAGAATATATATAGTTTTACATACATTAAGGGAATAGTTTATTTTTTATAAATTTTTTTGCAATGCGAGTGCCGAACTCGTAAAAAGGCCTCCGTCTTTTTAGCACATACACCCCGAAAAGGCTACGTCTCCAGACGGTTAAAACTGTAATCATGGTACCTAAATTTTGTCTAATATTATGATCAATGTACTATGCTGCACCAACTATGTGGAAAAGATTTTACCCAGGCAAACGGGTGGTAGTTAGGGGTTGCACTTCCAGGCTAATGCTCAGTGCCAAACCCTCTGGTTACTAATATTGGACTATTCAGATTAATGGACAGGGTCCTCATACATCTGATAGAACATTTTGTATTTTAAATTGAGCTTAATCTTGCTATGATGTTCTCCTTTCAAGGAAGTGAGTTATAATATGTTTGAAAATAATTGCTGAAATTTGAATATATGGACAGCCAACAGTACCATTCATTAACAGGAGACTGCAACATCCATATATAATGGTACCGGGTAATCTAACACTGTGTGAAAACACGTTATATGTGCAGACATCATATCCATAATCCTTGATTAAAGGCTAAATTTCCTGGTAGACTACAGTCATCCTAACCAAACATGTAACAATATTGAACATATTTTCAAAACCACAGTTTGATTTATTGCATTGCCCACATACCGGTACTGGTAATATTAAAAGAAAGAGCCCAGTGTTTGTCTAAAGAAATCAATGTCAGATCTTTAAGACGCTTCAAGGGGCTTTTAATGTTGCTCTAAAGAAATCAATGTCAGATCTGTAGAGGCTTAATGTTTTTCTACCGAAATCAATGTCAGAGGCTTAATGTTTTTTCTACCGAAATCAATGTCAGAGGCTTCAAGTGGGGGAAACAGGCCATTTACCTTGGTTATTTTCAGAAAAGTTAAGTTTAAAAAATGTAAAAACATATCCAGACACACACACACACACACACTCCTCTTTTCCCCCTTTCTTTTTTCCTTCTCTTTTCAAATCTTTCATTTATTCTTGATCATGACCATTCATCTTAGAATAAATATAATGCTTTAGTAGTGACGGTTATTGTTGTTTCTATTTCAGCCTCCAATTGATCCACATCAGTTACTGAGGGCCCTTGGTCCACTTCTCACCCCAGCTGGTGGTATAAAAGGGCCACAGGAAGCTTCCAGAATTGCTAGGTAATATTTTTTTTGTGGACAGATTTTTAAAAAAAAATAGAGTGATAAGTCTTCTTTGCATTTTCACATCCTCATATCTCCAGATTTTTTTTTTTTTAAAGCAGCTTTAACAAAAAAATTAATAGCAGCAATTATTACCTGTTTAAAAAAAAATAATTTTTAAGTAATTGATTGCATGTAGTAGGTGCCTTAGTTTCACCTGAATTCTTGTATTTTATTACAGTTTGATGAAAGATGCTACTAAATTAGTGACAAGATGTATTTATCTCAACATACTGAGAGCTACTGAATCACATGAAGCATTGGAAAAGTAAGTACACAGCACTGCCCTTCAAATAATTTGTTTACTTCCACAATGTTAACAATCTCTCACTAAATACAAATTATTAATTATCAGGCATATTTTATTGTGAATAGAAAACAACAGCAGTGTTACATATGTTTAAGTTTTTTTAATTAAATATTTTTCTCACATACAGCCCTGCTTCAAGCCAAGGCACTACCTTTTTTGTGTGTTTCAGAACCATGACTTCAGCATACATTTGAACTCCCTACCATTCCCCCACCCTCACAAGAGCATGCATTTTAACTCACCACCATGCCCCCTCTCACGGGTACCGGTATACATTTGAACTCACTGCCATCCCCCCCTCTCACATGCAAAGACTATCCATAAAAACCTACTCATTCTTTTATTTCTGTTTTTTTTTAAAGATTTATCGATGTTGGAGGCTGGAACATATTAAACAGTTGGCTGGATGTTGCACGGGGTGACAATAATGACCCTTTACTTGGGGAGCTGTTGGATGTTTACCTGCTAATGCCAGTCACTGTTGTTCTACTCAAACAGAATAGTGCAGCTAAGACCATCAAACAGCTCAGCAAGACTGAAAATGAAAGTAGGTGAAACTTCCGTTGCTCGTTGCACCCGAAAGCATTTTTTTTTCATATTGCTAAGCAAATTCGATTGAACTATATTTTTTAAATTGTTATTTATTTGTATCTTCTCCATCAAATGATTTGATGAAGTTGTGAAATGTTTTTCGAAGTCACAGCATATCACATGATTTAAATTTAATGAAGTTGTTAAATGTTCCCCAAGTCACATGATCTGATTAGATGAAGTTGTGACAAGTCACAGTCACAGCACATCACATGATTTAAGGAAGTTGTAAAATTCTCCCCCAGTAACAGGAATTTTAAGCAATGAGAAAATATTTGATAAAATCTTCAACTAAAAAAGACATAAATCTTCGGTATTTATTGGAGAGTTAAATGGCAAATATTTTAAATTCAATTCTACAAAGGTCAGCTAAGCCTTCACAAATAAAATATTCTATCTTAGTCCATTTAGAAAGGCTTAAAAAAAGGCAAATGCCCCTGTAGACAATGTAGAAGTTTTGGACCCATTGCCAGAGCGAAATGTACCATAAAAATAACTTGATTAAAAGCCCATTTAATGGATTTTCCCCACTGGAAGCATTTTAACAGAATGTCCGAGTGCTTAGTCCAATAATATATGGATGTGAAGTTAAAAGTGATTAAGAAAATCAATCCAATATTTTAATCATTTGTGTTGGTTGGTAAATATTTATAAACCTTCATATTGCCATGTAGAAATCAAGACCTTGTCATCCAAGCTTGTAGACAGCTGGACCAAAACTATCAGAGGACAAAACAATGGCACAGACAATGATGCTGAGGGTAAGATCATGTCTTCACGGTTGGTTCAACTAACCGAACTTGTTAAGAATATGATAGAGTGCGTTTTAAATAACAAGAGTTAGATTAAGTTGCAGTTGTTTATTCAGTATTAAGCATGTATACTAGATGAGATGAAATAGATCTTTGAACTGTGTGTAGATCAGATATTAATTTATAAGTTTCAGAAGTTGTAAAAGTGGGATGATTATGATTTTTCAAATTGGCATTAATTAGAGCTGGAGCACTTACAAATATTGCTCAAGTGAGAGAATTTACCTGCGTTTCCCTTCTTATGTGTGGAAGGGTTTATAAGAACATTGGAGAAAAAAAACATCCACAACCTCAATAAGAAATTTTGTAATTTGATTACTTTGTTCATCTAACCGTGCAAGTAAATAAAATCTAGCTAAATAAAAACTTTTTTTTTTGTGGTGATTTGTTGTTGGAAAAACATTTTTTTTTTTCTGTATTATACCTGAGTAAATATTTTCTTTTGTCATAGATAAAAAGAAAAAGAAGAAGCACAAAGAGAAAGAAAGGGAAAAGGATAAAAATGATAAGGAAAATGACAAAAGAGAAAAGGAAGAAAAGGACTCAGAAAAAAACAAATCACGAGAAAAAGACTCAAAAGATCATCACAAGGAGAAAGATAAAAGAGACAAAGACAGACACAAAGATAAGGATCGCTCAAAAAGGGAAAAGTCCAAATCAAGCTCTGATAATAAAGAATCTTCCACAAAAGGATCATCATCTTCTGATCCCACCCTCTCAAGCAAAACTAAAGAAAGTAGTTCTTCCAAAAGATCAACATCCATGGATGAACTGAAATCATCATCATCATCTACTACAACGAATGGCTCTGGCAAAAACGTGGAACAAGACTTTTTGAAAGATGATGATTCACGCAGGCGTCCAAAAACAGTCAAGCAGTTGAACACAAAATTCCGATCTACTGGACTTTTTGACGCAGAAGAAGAGGAAGAGCCAGAGCAAGCCAAGAAAAAGTTAGATAAGCCCCCCATGAAAAGAGCAAGGTTAGTGTACATGATTTCATCAATATTTGCTTTTGTTATGTCATAAGAAGTTATGAAGACTGTCCTGACTTCTGTATAAAGTTATGATGACTGATCTGACTCCTGTATAAAGTTATGAAGACTTACCTGACTCCTGTATAGTTTGAATACTTCCACAAATTTGACCATGCTAAAACACTTCTGAGAGAGCTGCATTGGCTGCCAGTCCGCGCTCACATAGAGTACAAAATTGCAACTCTGTGCTACCGCTGCTTGCATGACCTAGTGCCATCCTATCTTAAAGCCCTCTTGATGCCTTATATACCCACTAGATCACTCTGTTCATCCGAATGTGGCAAACAATACCGTGTGTTCGTCTTAAGACCTACGGAAGGCGCACTTTCGCTTTTGCTGGTCCAAAAATCTGGAACGCCCTTTCTGTAGCTCTCAGAAACAGCCAGACACTGCAGTCTTTCAAAAATGAGTTGAAAACACATCTTTTTCACACTCACCTACTGGGGTGATGTAGTCTACTCCTTGTTTCCAGCTTGCTCATATTCCTCGATGTATATTGGCTTGTATTGTCCATTGGCTTGTGTGTTGATTTTTTATTGTTGCGTTTTGTATTTTAATTTGGAAAAATATAAATTGTCATTATATGGTTGAATTTGTACCACATTTTGAGCCTCAATTAGGGATGAAGCATGTGTTTGAAATGAACTTTATTATTATTATTATTATGTATATTTATAATAAAGGGTGGCCATTTGTGAAATAAGGTGTTGTGTGTTGAGTATTTCTTAAATTGGAAAGCAATTGTTTAAATGTGTGGAAGGATGTGAAATGATTTGGTAATTGGAAGTGTGGTTTGGGGAGCGGGGGGATAGAAGGATGTGAAATGATTTGGTAATTGGAGTGTGGTGGGGGGGTATTGGAAGTGTGGTTTGGGGAGCGGGGGGATAGAAGGATGTGAAATGATTTGGTAATTGGAGTGTGGTGGGGGGGGGGGTGAGATAAGAAGATAGAAGGATGTGAACTGATTTGGTGATTGAACGGGGGAGATAAAAAGAGGGAAAAGCAATGTGAAATAAATTAGTATGGTGAGGTCATATACAAAATTATGAGTACAAAAATGCTTATTTATCAATAAAAAGGCAATTTGTATCTGATCTTTTTTATTGTATATTTTCTGTTTCTCTTAGCATGGATTCAAAAAGTGAAGATGCAATAGAAAAAAAACCACGTCTGCATTTAACAATGCCCACCCTGACACCAGCTAGCTCTGATTCAGCCATAACAACACCACCTGAAGTGACTCATGGAAGAATCAAGATTATTCCACCCAAAAAAGGTTTGTTTAATGTATATGCTCTTTTTAAACCCTGTTAGTTCTTAAGTTGACACGCTAATTTTGCCCGGGAAAAGCCTGAAAAGTTTATAACCCACTCATAAAATAACATGTAAACAATACTGTATAAAGAAATGACAAAAATATAGCCCCCAGCACCAAAATCACGCTGATGCACTCATTAGTCCTCTCCCATTTTCTTGTATGCCTGGGAGTCCTGGACATTACAGCATAACTTGAAAGAAAAATAAAGGCGATAAAGATGAGATGTTTCAGAAGCATTCTTGGCATCTGCTATAGAGACCATCTCCAATGAACGAGTGAAAGAAAGGATTCATCAAGCAATTGGGCAGTACGATGACCTCCTGTTGACTGTAAAAAAGCGCAAACTGGAATGGTATGTCACAAGAAAACAAGGGCTCGCCAAAGAAATCATGCAGGGCACAAAGAGAGGCGGGAGAAGAAGAGGAAGACAGAGAAAAAGATGGGAAGACAACATCAAAGAGTGTATGGGGCTAAAGTGAGGTGATGCTGTATGAAGTGCACCAAACAGAGAGGAATGGAGGATAGTTATCATGTCATCCGTGGCGCCCCAACGGTCCAAGGACTAAGGGACATGATGATGAAAATAAAAAGTAATAAGCATACAGTATAATGTATGAGACATGTACTTGCTTCATGTCTAACCTAACTGAACATTTACAAAAATAGATAATTACCGTTTGGAAAGAAATACATGCCTGTATTCTGCTGTAACAATCATTTACAAAGTTCACATTATCAGTCTGGTAACTGGTATTAAATATAGGTCAGGTGGTACTACCTTTTCATAAGACTTGCTCTGACTGCTCATGAAATACATTTTAGCAGCTGCCTAAAAAATCTGACAGGCTGACATTTCATTATTCTTTGTAGGTATTTGATACATTTTAAGCACAGCCAAACATGACAGTGGTAAAATGAATACAAAACTTGTTACCCAGTATTTTTTTAATGGCTTTATGGTGACTTCGGGTAATTAATTTTTTCATCGTTGTCTTCTTGAATTGAATCAACTTACATTTACATTGAGTACCGTAAGTTATAAAAATCTCTTATGACCTGCTCATGAGGCCACCAAAAATTGTATAAATGGTATTCATTTTCTTTTTCTGTAAAAAAACCTAGCGCTTGAAATTAAAATAATTTTAACATTTAATTCTAAATAACTTTTTATGTGAATCTTGTTGTGCAAAAGGTCATTTAAAACGTGTATATTTTGCAAAATGTTAATGAACTTGTGTATTGTAGACAGGAATGAAGAAGGACTTTTGTTTGATGTTTTCCATCCCCCTCTTCTTATTTCTTTGTTTTAAACCAGTTTCCTTTTAAATGATGCTCATTTAATATATTTGATTCTTTTATTTACTAGGGCAAACCCATATTTTGATTAAATGCCATACCTCCAGCTCATGTTAAACTATTTGCAACTTTTATTTACTAGCGCCAAACCCTTATTTTAATTTCACAGCTCCAGCTCATGAAATTCAAGAAAGCAATGTCTTCATGACCGCTCTTCAGCAGTCCACACTTCCTGGAGGACTGAAGAGGAAAAAGAAGCTGCTGGTTTCACCATCGCCTATGTCAACAACCCCCTTGCTGATAAGGGGATCATCTGCGACGTCCCCACCTTCAGCTTCCTCGCCATCTGCTACATCCCCCCCACCCAGTACACAGACTAGTGAGGCAGGACCCACCTCCCCACCATTGCTCTCTCCCACCACAGTTATGGCCCAGAAATTACCATCTGTGCCTTCTGTAAGTTTATAATTATCAAAATAATTTTTCAGACATGAACAGCAAAAATTATATCATGGGCTGTTTAAATTATATTCATTGGCATTAATCACTTAATCTATATTCTGGTATATATTTTTTTTTTCTGTATCACAAAATAAATATAATTATCTTACTATTTTGTATTGTATTTGAATAAATTGTCTTTCAAGCCTCTTTACATGTGACCATTATATTTTTCAATTACAATAATTCTGTGTTTTAAAGGATATACCCATTTTTATCTAAATTTTAAATGTTTCTCATGCAGTTTTACCGTGATACTTTAGAGGATATGCCAGAGAGCACAAATAGCAAGAAAGATAAAGAAAGGGATGAAAATGAAGACCCACCACCTGCTCTAGAAGTTATGCAAACAGATGAGGAAGGGGAGGGCAGATTAGATGATCAGACATCATCTACATCTGAGGAAAAAATTTCAGGTCATTTCTTCATTCCAGTGATTGCATTGCCTTCTTTACTTTCATAATAGTTATTATTTAACTAAAATGTAGCAAATTAAACTATCCACCTTAAATCAAATGTTTTGATGTGCTACTGAATAAGGGTGGCTAATTGACAAATTTGACAGTGCAGGATGCAAATATAGAATGCTAATAATAATTCATATTCAAAACTAAAGAACAAAATTAAAGATTTGAAACAAATAATTTTCACTGTCGTCAAGTTTTTCTAACTTGATATTAATGTTTAACAATTTGCTCCAACAGAGTCTAAGCCAGAGGGAGAACTGATTCCCGGTGATGTTTCTCTGGATAGTGATCCGAAACCTGTTAAAGTAAAGAAACCCAAGAAGAATGTCACTTGGGCAAGAGAAACCAATTTAGAGGAATACTTTTATTTCGAATTGGATGAAACAGAGAGAGGTCAGCAGATTTGTCTCTTTAAATTGTTCTTTTATACTTCAAATTGTTTGTAATTTTTTTTTCATTTTTACATCTAATTGTTGGTAATTTTCTTTTATTTTTGCTCAACTTGGCTAATTGATATAATATGTTTTTTTCTCTCCAGAAAATGTAAATAGACCAAAAACGTTTAATGAAATGAAGAAAGAGGAGATGTTGCTAGATCGAAGGGTACGGTTATAATAAAAACCAGATTATGTATATTTTATGAATTACAGAAATTCTATCGGCCAAATGTCATGTTGTGTCAGATAAATGTAAATCTAACATAGCTACCTTAACTGTCCAAATGAAAACAATGTACATCTAACATAGCTGTCCAAATGAAAACAATGTTGACCCACAATTTACTGTTCATTTCAGGCCATGGAATCTGCTAAAAGATTTAATAATGACACAATGGTGGAGGTATTACAGGTAAGTGACACCCCCCCCCCCTCCCCCCTTTTCCCATTAGCAAGAATGCTTTGTAGCCAGAGTTGATTTATCCTGCCCTAAGTTTGGCCATACACATTAAAAAATATATTGAATAATGTTTATCAAAAATCTGCTACGTTATTAATTATATTTTTCTATGGTAAACTTAAATAATTATATAATTAAAACACAGCGATAGATTAGGAAGATACTCATGGATGTTTGAAACTGTTGAATGTTTTTAAATGAGTGTAGAGATTAAGAGCGGAGTAGGTAAAAGTGACCAAACATTTTTGGGGAGTTGTTAGACTGCTTGATATTTAAGATGGCTGTTTTCACAGCATTCTTGTCATCCGCATTCATCACTCTACAAGAGATGATGATATAGTTTCTTAACATAATAATTGTACAAATTATGGAATTATGGCTTTTTTTTGCCCCAAATAGTAAAGTTAAATAATATTTTTTAGTGCTACACATTTTGTTTTACTACACGTACTTCTCCCTCATCAGTGGAAACGCCCCAAACCTATTGACAATGTGATTGTTGTAGTAGAGTCAGGATGTAACAGTGTAGAGAAACAGATACAGATGGACAGGGAGCTAATTGTACTGTGTGCCCTCTTCTTTAACAAGTGAGTGTTGTTATAGAGAACTAATTGTACTGTATGCACTCTTCTTCAACAATTGAGTGTTGTTATAGGGAGCATATTGTACTGTGTTTGGTGCTTTAAATATTTCATGCCGATATTATTCAACAAAATGTTATTCTTTTTTTTTTTTAATTTGGAGAAAAAAAATTTGGGAAAAAATGTAGTGGGGACCAATGTTCCCTCTAAGGTTTGTTGGTTCGTGTGCAAAATCATACAGTTGTGTGCACAATTTTAAAGCCCACAAACACACACTTACATGGAAATTTGCTGTGCGGATACTCAAAGCTGCTGCGCGGTGTCTGTGAGATAGCTGAGTGGCCGCGCAGCTTAAAGGGAACATCGGTGGGGACCATGCTTTGAGTACAAAGTAACATTATCTTGGCATTTTCATACCTGAAATCCGGCCCCACCAATCGGATTTAATCCTAATTTGTCTTAACATTTTAATACCTCAAATCTGACACCAACAATTAGATGTAATCCTCATTATCTTGGCATTTTCTCCTCTAATCTCATCCCAACAAGAAAAGGAAATCCTAAAAACATGTATCTTTACATTTTCATGCCTTCAATCTGACTCCAAAAAAGATGGGGCACATGCATGCATAGATTCCCACCCTGGAATCTTCCACTGAATACACTAATTATATTGAAAATTCAATATTTAACATCACAGAGAACTTCCTAGTTAATGTTAAAGTAGATTAAACATTGTTTTTAATTCTTTTCACCAGGGTACCAGATACACCTGCTGAACCAGATCTGGAAAACTCAGGTGATAAACTTGAGACCCAAATCATTCCACTGGAAGATGTATGTTGTTTTTTTTAGTTTATTAAGTTATTATTTAGCCATTTATCTCTTAATTGTAACTTTTTATAATAAATTAACATTACCAATCACTTTCAGGAATGAAATTTTTCATCAAATAATTATGTTACTGTTCTTTTTTATACTCCTTCAGGAAAATGGTTCATGTACTGAATATGAGCACACATATAAATTTAATGACCCGTCTTCATTACCATATGATCCTGAATTTGGAGGACTCCCACTTCAAAGTCATGTGCCTCCGATGAATCAAGTTGGTCCCATGGTTGGACCTCTGATGAACAATATGTCTGCCAACATCATTGCTGGGAACATGAATAACAATATGGGTGGCAACACAATGGGAAACATGAATCTGCCACCTGCCATCAGTCATATACTCAATACCTTACAACAGCAGGCTCAGGAAAGCAGAGACCCTGTTATACAAAATCTTCAAGGAATGCTTGCAAGTGTATTGGTAAGATGGAAGACCAGTTGTATCTTAAATATTTTTTAATTTATCATTTTAATAAAACTTGTTTAAAAACATTTGCAGTGTCAGAAATAATTTTATTTTTAGACCAGTGCTGTTAGTTTTTCAGCAAACATCCTAAAAAGTCAATTCAGTAGCAACATATCTGAATGGGTGGTGGATTATAAGGAAGACATAATTATACAAGTTGATAATAAAGTTTTTGAATAGAAATCATACATCTTTCTGCAAATAAGTAATTTTTGGGGTAATTTTCTACATTGAATTTATTTTTTAATTAAGAATATGCTAATAATTGATAAAATATCAATAGTTGACTATAGTCAACATAAATACTTTTTTTAATGGAAAAAATACAGCTTTTGAGACATTATACATAATATATGTATCAGGCAAGGATCCAAGGGGCATCATAATACATTTAAAGCTAATGCTGAGTGAAGATCCATTCTTTTAATTAAAGTAATATTTCTGATCTTTGCAGATAATGCAATAATCACTATTAATTATGTATAAGGAAATGATATCCATACATATTTCAGCAAAATACAAATCCACAAGACAGTGGGATGCTGATGGATAGAATTCTCACTGCTTTAGAGCCCTTTAAAAATCAGATACCAGGTAATAATACTAATTTAAATATTTATGCATATTGTCACTGCACTATTTAATTGTAAATAATACTAGAGGTGAAGTGGTTCAAATAGTGACTGATATTTTATCATCCACATTCACAATAAGAAATACATTTCACAAAAATCCGAAAACACTTGGAAATTATATCATATGAATTTCATTTACTAACTTCTGGATAACATAATCTTCTTTAATTGATATATAGATCAACACAATATAAATCTTTATTACAACAACGGTCTCTCTGATCAATCTTTTCAAAACAAATCTCCATTATTCAACCTTTTTTTTTTTGATTGACTAGTTTCTCCCCCAAGTCCCAACACGGTATATATTATATAAGAAATATTTACCATATTACTTATCTCCCAGTATTATTCATATCTGTGGCACATATCATAAGTAGAGATATATCATCAAAGACAGGATGTTTTCCATATCAAATCAGTTCAGAATATTTGTTAACTTCATAGTTTAGGGACTGTGTCATTGGCGAAAGACACAGTACTGGCTTTAGAAAAATGCAAACTCATGCAAAGAAAATTATGAGTTTTATAGATAATTTTTAGTTCAAATGCAGGTTATATTGTTTATCATTTTTAAATATTAGATTAACTCTCTTGTATGGAATTGAATGAACTAATACAATCTTTATGAATCAAACAAAAAGAAATCTCAACATTTATGCAAATGAGACATCCTGATTAGCATAATTTATGCTTGAATTTTTTTTTCTTTTTCACAAAGAATAAACATGCCTTACTTGCAGAATTTCCTTTAATTATTTTTTTTTTTTTGTGGGAACCTAAATAAATCCTAAAATTATTTGAATGAGATTCAGTGTGAAGAATTGCATAAAATATTCTCCTGGGTATGCTTAGGCTTTCTGGCATATCTCTTTTTAGGAGTCAATAGGTACAAAAAAAAATTGCTACAAAATGACAGAACACTAAGCTAACAATGGACGCCACGATTTAAATTGGCGAGATCAGATAGAACTGCGAGAAGCAATCTGACTAGCTGGTACAAATTACAAAGACCAGCCAGCCCATCTCGAGGCTTGTATTATTGGTCCAATGGTTCGGCCTTTTGTCTTTTTTGCCATTCAACTCTGGGCAGATTCAGACAAAATAAAAAGTAAAATCTCTTTAAAAATCAGATTTTTTTTTTTTAGGCCTTGGCAATTTAATCAACTCAGTGACTGGAAATGGCATGGACCCCAACATGGGGCCCCGTTTTATGGGACCCAATCAGATGGGGAATCCACGTCATGGATTACTAGGCTCAGCTCCTCCAGGTTTCAACATGATGGGTGGTAACATGAGACCAAACATGCCTGGTAAGTGTATTTTGTTAATCTCAGAGTTCTTTTTTTTTAAGCTCTGAATTTACACCCTTGGCTATAATACTAAATCTATTTTTGCGTGTTCAGCTGATTTTGATTCTATACCAAAATGGCAATTGTCCCAACAATTCATTGGTTGAGGATTTTTACATGGAGTTAACCTCCCCTTCAAGAATAGCCACCTAACTTGGCTAGAGTCCATTCTACCCAGCTAATTAGCCATAATTAGGGCTGAACCTTGCTAATTAAAATAAAAAATTTGTTTGTCAAGAGGCGGGCAACATGCCCATTGCCCCAGGGCTTAATCATGGCTTTCTTGTCATCATGCATTGAATATGGGTTTCTGATAAAACAATTACCTAATTATCATCTGGTTGGAACTCCCATAGCTTATGTCTTGAAGTCAGTTACAGTGAAGTAGCTAGAGTTAGTGCCACTGGGACGGGTCAGGATTTTTTCCGCCCCTTCAATGAAAAAAATTCTGCAGTTGGCCCAAAATGCTGTCCCTCCATAATATAAAGTTATAATAAAGTGCTGCCCGGGGTAGACTGCCCCACCTTCCTAAGCCACTTGTTTGTTATCTAGTTAACAGTTTTTTAATACATGTTCTTGATCCCATTAAGTGTTAAGTATTTTAATCAATTGATAGATCCAAGAATTGTTTCAAGAGCCATTTTTAAATTCTGTTGTCTGTACTGAAAACTAGGATGCATGTGGATATATTCATTCTGACATTATTAAATTAGTCAAGATTGGTTAGTTTCATGATTGAAAAAAAATTATTCAGTTATGAGTAAGATGTGTTTATTCTCTTCTACTTCAGCTCCTGGTCCCATGATGAACAATAATCCAGGTGGAATGGGTGGCAACTATTACATGGGTGGAGGTGGTGGTGGGGGCATGCGCATGGGAGGACCTCATGGCCAGTGGAGGGGTAGATCCAGACCTTATGGAAAAAGAGGTAGGTGTTATATTTCAAGTAAAGATATCACTTTTTGTTCTTTCTCTAAATGAAAAATTAAATTGATTATAATTAACTTTTCTCTACCTTATACAATGAAGAATTAATTGTCCTCATGCTTTCCTTACTTTGTCCTTACAGGTGGCCCACGAAATGTAGTTTGTCAGTTTTATGTTAAGAAAGGAAATTGCAAGTATGGTGACGTTTGTCAATTTATTCACCCTGGACCTAATTCATAGCATTGAATTAGGTATTAGGTTTTTTAAAATTAATTTTGTTCATGTGCTCAAAATCTTCAATGAGGAAATAGTAAAAGAAATGAAAAATTAAATTTGTTGATATCTATCAAGCCCACAAAGATAAAGGAAGTTTGGATGATGACATTCCACTTTCATCCATTTACGTCTCTACTGAATTTTGATATTTTTTTTTTACATTGGAGGGAAAATTAATGTGTTAAAAAAAGTATGTCCTCTGATTCTAATATAATCTTACTCTTTTGCTAAGGGTGGGCATCTAAAAAAAAAAAAATTGTATAAAATTCATCATGGGCATTACCCTCTTTGCCAATGTGAAGAAGAGACAATTATGTATAAAAGAAATATTTTATTGTTTTGTCTAAACCATCCTCAAAACCATCTGAAAATACACTTTGAAAGACTTTAAAAAACTAAGTTTTATTTTCATTTGTTTTAAGAGGACAGGTTTCTATTTTATATGGTTGAAATGAGCAATAATTATAAATTATTGGATGAATAGTTAGCATGTTGCTTGTCCTGGTAGACAAGATATTGCTTGGGTGTCTGCATGAGTGTTCTAATAAAAAAATATATGATTTTTACTTAATACTATCAGTTTGAAATGGGATGAATCATAATTTTCCTGTGTACCGTACTTGAAAATAGAGATACTGTAAAAAGTTAAATTATCATTTATGCCAAATGAGAAATGTAAATATAATGCAACTTAGAAATGTCTTTGACTGCAACATTGCACCTCATATCTGAACTGTTTGACTGTTACACTTACTTTTGATACCAATAAGGTATTTGGCTTGTACAGGTTCTATGAGATATATATACACCATGTCATTATTTCAAATCATCATTAATAGAAAATAATTAACAGGTGTATTAGTAAATCGCTTGCTCCTTTCATTTCAAAGTGTATGAAGATGCAGGTATTCATTATTGGAGCTAAGGATTGTATTTCATTTGATGATTTGGTCTAGCTGAATATATTCATAAAGAGTGTGAATGACTTTGAATGTATAGTGCCAAATCTTTATGTAGATAATGTACAGAATGTTGCAAGTCAGCAGTTCTTTATCAAATTAATGTTGCTGTAAATAAATTCTTCAGTGCAAAGACATTAAATATTGAAAACTTAAGTTTGACAAAGAAAATGTGTTGCTATTTGAATTTTTTTTTTTTTTTTTAAATTATAAGTGGCTAAATGCAAGTTTTTCCCCATGGAACTTCTGAGAAAATTTTGAGTACAGGTATCACCAACTGAAACAAAAAATGTTCATCTAGAACAGGGGTTCTCAAACTTTTTCTAGTCACATTTGATGTTGTCCCTAATGCTCCCTCTTAATTTCATTATTCTCTTAAAAAAAGCAAAGCTATTTAGATGTAAATGACTAAAATCATTATAAAAATTTAAATCAACATACTTTATTACTTCAGATATAAATAACCTTCCACACAATGATGAGGCATGGCTTGGTGAACTTCCCATCTTTAAAAGTAATTTGATAAACATGCATTCAAGTAACCTCTTCAGAAGATTACCAATTAATTTTAACCTCTGGAAATGTATTTCCTGCACCAATTGAACACAGCCTTATACCATGCTTTTTAGATTACTAAATTGATAATTTAATGGATAATATAATGCAACATTGAGATGGATGATACAATTATGAATTAACAATGTGTAATTTTAAAAAACACTTAAAGTAAAATCATGTTCTACCAAACACCATGTTGCTAAGACTCAGCAACTAAAAATACACTATTTGCTATTCCACTTCCACATAAACTAAATTAAATTACACACTCAATGACTATGACAAACCAAGTGAAATACCTTACCAAATCTATTCTGAAAAAAATGATATGCTATTACTCCCCAACCCCTGATATAGCACATTTAAAATACCATGAGTCTTTGCACATTTAAGATACCATGAGTCTTTGTTAATAAGAAGTAACACATTATAATTGGAACAAATTCAACATTTATTCAAAATGATCCTTATTAACACTGGATTCTAACCATGTCAGGAATGACAAATTTCAATACATGTTTGTAATGAATGAAACAGATGAACATATTTGATGAGTTTTTTTTAAAAAAAACCCTTATGCAACTTAACGCCACACCATCATAAATAGAGTTCATTCATTCCACATAAATAGAGAATTGCATCATTTTGAGAGCTTCACACAAAATTCAATTTCACAAATTTATCTAATGACCAAACATCCATTCCAAATGGACAAATATAATACAGTGTGGGAAATCAGCCAACATATCCTTCTTATGAACTGTTAGCAAAGTCACTTTCACTGACACTATACATTCATTTATAATCAACTTTAAAACAAGACATAACTTTGGGCCCATTTTACATGCAGTCCTTCCACCTTTATCACTCACACATCCATCAAATAATTCCTTGAGAACAGGAAAATATCCATGTTGTTACTTAGCAACAATATATGATCATTTTAGAATACTTAATAGGGTGGGAGATTGATCTTCACTTGCAATAATACAAATGAATGATTTGAGAGCAATCTTTCCTTTCAAAAAAAAAGAAGAAAAAAAAAACCTTATTGGACAAAAACCCATTTTCTACCATGCATCAATTCACAAGCTCTCACAAACAAAATAAGAGAACCAAATTATTCAGTATTTCAGTATAAACTGTGACCCGTGACATTTCTTATTCAAACCTAGGCCATTTCTCTTCAAAATCGCATGGTTGTCACTTTTAGTCCAGCTTTCAACGATTCAAATAAAGCCCCACAGCACATCTTGATCATGAGTCTCAAAATTATACAAATAAAATAGAGATTTCAATAATGACCAATCAAAACATTACCTAAATTGTAAAAATAGCAGTTTTTTTTAAGCCCTAAAAGCATAGTGTTCTCACAATTCATCCTTTTCATCACTATCTTCTTCTGTTGGTGGAGGAGAACCACCTGTCTGCTCATACAACTTTGTCATGATTGGCTGAACAATTCCTTCCAATTCTTTTTTCTTTTCTTTGAATTCCTCAGCATCAGAGTCTGCATTGCTTTCCAACCATTTAATTGCTTCATCTACGGCTTCTGTGATCTTTTCTTTATCACCCTCACTGAGTTTGGCTCCAAGCTTTTCTTTATCACCAATTTGGTTCTTTAGGGAGTATGCATAGCTTTCGAGCTCATTCTTTGCATCAACTCTTTCTTTGATCTTCTTATCGTCATCTGCATATTTCTCTGCATCATTGATCATACGTTCAATGTCTTCAGGTGACAATCTGTTCTGGTCATTCTGAATGACTATCTGATTTTTGCTTCCAGTGCCTTTGTCTTCAGCAGTTACCTTGAGGATGCCATTGACGTCAATCTCAAAGGTTACTTCAATCTGAGGAACTCCACGGGGAGCTGGTGGGATGCCAGTAAGGTCAAATTTGCCAAGCAAATGGTTGTCTTTGGTCATGGAACGCTCACCCTCATATACCTACAAAATAAAATGTTAATTTTGTAATGTTAGACCTTGAAACAGAATTAAATATATAAAGTCATGCCTTAGTAAAAAAAAAAGAATAAATAAATTGCTAAAAAAAAAGAATAAATAAATTGTTATGTCCTTTTTTAAAGTCTATCTTGTGTGACGTTTATTATCACTTAGAAACCCTACCTGAATAGTTACAGTTGGTTGATTATCAGCAGCAGTGGAGAAGATCTGTGATTTCTTAGTTGGAATGACAGTATTTCTAGGGATTAGCTTGGTCATGACACCACCAACAGTTTCAATACCCATGGTCAAGGGGTTGACATCCAAAAGTACCAAGTCACCAGTGTCTTCCTCACCACTCAAGACACCTGCCTGCACAGCAGCACCATAGGCCACAGCCTCATCTGGGTTAATGCCTCTGCTTGGCTCCTAAATGTAAGAAGATACATAATTTTATAATATTTGTTACACTTTTTACAATTATAAATACAAAATTATATATCACTCTGCAGTTCAACTATAAAGAAATAATTGGCATAAATACATGTAATTTTTCTGTAATTTTTCTCAAACAATATATAAACATTCCACCAAAAACAAGTAAGCTTAATTTTTATTATCATGTAACAGCCAACATTCATCACTAATATGAAAATTTAAAAAAATGTCACCTAATATTTATCTCTAAATATATACTATAAAATTATGTATATATTTAAAGACTTGAGTTATAATAAATTTATTACAAATGGTTTTGCCCTGTGAGAATTGCCCTTAAGACTTTTTTTTTTAAAATCTGCAGAGAGTCCAAAAGATCTCTTTTAACAATTTAATAATTAATAATTTACAGTGTGTGTATAAACTTTAAATATTTGAACATGTTCACAAAAATTTCTAACTTATATATTTAATTCACTTAAAGGATTCCTACCTTGCCATTGAAAAATTCCTTGACAAGCTGTTGGACCTTGGGAATACGAGTGGAACCACCAACCAAGACAATTTCATCAATATCATCAGTCTTGAGATCAGCATCCTCCAATACATTTTTAACAGGTTTCATTGTGGACCGAAACAAATCCTGTTTTAAGAAAAAAAAAGGATTTCAACTTAACTGGTTCTTTAAACTTTGTATGTTATAAATTTAGCATGCAATCATAAAATTTATTTAAATTTGGCGTTTTAAATAAATTTAATGATAAACTAAGTGAGATATGTAAAGAAACCTTTCAATTACCATATTCAGTTCTTCAAATTTAGCACGCGTAAGGGATTCAGAGAAATCTTCTCCTTCGAAGAAAGATTCAATCTCAAGACGGACTTGATGGGCAGATGATAGGGCTCTCTTTGCTTTTTCAACCTCTCTACGCAACTTCTGAACAGCGCGATTATCCTTCCTGATGTCTTTACCCTTCTTCTTCTTGTACAATTTAATGAAATGATCCATGACTCGTTGATCAAAGTCTTCACCACCTATTAAAATTTGAAGAAATCGTCAACATCCTCATCCATGTTAAGTTTTACAGATGTTAATTCTCACCAATAACTCTGTTCAAATAATTTTGTCAGTTTGAATAAACTTACCCAAATGAGTGTCGCCATTAGTAGACACAACTTCAAAGACACCATTGTCAATTGTCAGCAAAGAAACATCAAAAGTTCCACCACCCAGATCAAACACAAGAATATTCTTTTCACCATCTCTTTTGTCTAGACCGTAAGCAATGGCTGCAGCAGTTCTGAGGAAATGATGTGACAATGTACATCACAAATTAAAAAATAAATACATATATCCTTAGACATTTTCATTTAGATTAGCCTTTACTTATTTCATAAAATTAAAATCTCAATACTTACGGCTCATTGATAATTCTCATGACATTAAGGCCAGCAATGACACCTGCATCCTTAGTGGCCTGTCTCTGTGCATCATTGAAATAAGCAGGGACTGTAACTACAGCATTGGTGATCTTCTTTCCTAAATATTCCTCAGCAATATCTTTCATTTTGCCAAGGACCATGGCAGAAATCTCTTCTGGAGCAAAAGTCTTTTCACCATCCACAGTATCCACAACCACATAAGGTTTGTTATTTCTGTTGATAACCTGAAAATTATGAAGAATGTACAGATATTAGCACCAAGTGAAAAGAAAAGTATGGTGTTTGTATCCTAAAACTATGACAGCCATAAAAATGTCCATCAAGCCCAGATAATTAGTTTTCCAAAAAGTAATTTCCACACTGTCATTTGTTTTTATTAAAATCTGTGTTTGTTCCTGCAATTTATTTGTGTGAGAATTTTACAATTATTAAAATATAGTAATGATTAAGATAAGGGTAAAAGCAGATTTAAAGTAGAATAAAGAAAATCCAGGAGTAGCAGGCAGTGAGTGAATGCATTTTTTTTAAAGAGTTATATATGGACAGGAATTACAGCAAATTTTAGCATTATATCCACACAAAAAAAACTATCTCATAGTACTTTGAGTAAATTGTATTCCTTTTTGACATGCACTGCTTGTCTAACCTAACTATAGTTTTCAGGGTTAGGTTTCAAAATGGGCAATATGTTTTGTACCACCTTGTTAACAATCTTTTAACAGGACAAGATACAAGTAGTTCCAAGATATTACCTTAAATGGATAAAATTTAATATCATGCTGTA